ATGAAGCATACTGCTAACATCATTCATATTGGATGAAACAGCTGTGGCATATCTCATTTTTAAAATTTTGCCTTTTTTTCTTTCAGACTGCCGTTTACTACATACGTTACATCTTTTTCATAAAAATGTAATAAATAGTTGCTGTCACTTACTTACAGAAGTGTTTGCAAATCTATGTTTTTCTGTTTCAGTACACCAGGAGAAAAAATTGCATATGTTAAAACTAACCTGAGCAAGTATTTGTACTGAAATACTGAAGGTACAGTGCCAGTTTACTGGGAAACACCATTATTTGTTCTTGGTGCATTGCTTCTGTCAGATACCGTATATAAAGAAGGAGGCTGGGGAAGCAACCTCTGAGAGAAGCTTCTTTTCCGTGAAGAGTAATGGATACTGGAAAGCCACGAGTTATCTTTGTGGCCATAACAAGTGTTATGATGGTTACAGTTTTGACAGTTAGGATTAATTCTCAGTGTGTTTTCTAATGTGTTGACTGCACTTCAGAAAAGCTGTGCTGAAGGGTGCGCAACCAGGAAAAGCATTTTTGGACAAATAGGTGTTAATAATGCTTTTGAGCATCCAAGAAGGCAAGCATAAGCTATAAATCTGACAATTGGTATTTAGCAAAGAGCTTACACTTTTCATTTTTATCTTATGTGATTTAACTGTGAAGGAAGGAATTTGATCAGCTTTACAGACAGGAAGGCTGTGTTACTTATTAACACATGGTCAGAGGTTTGGGGATTTTTTTAAGGATATGTGGCATGAAACATGTTTAAGGGAGAAAGAATCTTGGCTGTAATTGTTCTATAATAATAACAATACGAATTCAGAAAGAAGCACAACAAATCTATTTTGGTTTTGGGATCACTTCCAGCAATTTACTGTTTTAAATTTGGTGTCTTGCTTCTAGACATTGTCTGCACCTTGTAGTAGTAACAGTGGTTGTGTCTCACTTAGTGTGTGTATAGCTTGCTGCATTATGACACTTTGGCCACGTTTTTGTGTAAAATTCACACCTTGGCTTTTTCAATTGCCTTTGACCGTTGCCCTATTCTGTATGTGTACAGTAGGCTTCATATTTTGCCAGAAACCTGGTTAGTGACTGAAGTACCTAGAAGGCAGCGCTAAGGTGTACTACAGAGTGCAGAATATACAGCTCAAATGGCAGTGGAGAACTGCAGCACTGCCCTTTAATTTACAGATTATCCCTGCCATAAAGGATGATTACAAAGAAATCTACACTGTACCAGTTGTAAAGCTCTCCCTCTGACCCACTTGGGATTCATTTTGGACTAATTTTATTGCTTTGCATCTGAAATTTTTTAATTAAGTGCCTGCAATTATTCAGGAGCTCAGTGAAGTAAATGAGAAATAGAAAAACCTAGATAGGGATCAATGAAATGCACTTCTTGGGTCCTCAGCCGTTTCGATGCTTGTTCCAGCTATGTTTCCTCCACACCTAAATCAACCTGTAAAGCCCTTCTGAGCTTGTTTAAAATTTAAACTAAGGGCTCCATTATTTAGCACTGCTAGATAGCATATCCTTCGAGCAGACTCCTACTTCAATTTCCACATTGAGTGGGCCTAGTGATACCCTGCTATGCTGGGCAGGTTCAGTTTATCTGTACCAAGTGCTTTGTGCTTTGCATATGTTTAAAAAAAAAAAAAAACAAAACCTATTATCCAAGATACGTACTTCACTGTGTGAAAGCTATATGTATTATAATCATGCCTTCACAACAAGCCTCTATCATTATCCAGAATGCATAGACTTTTTGTACTTTCATTACAGGCTTTATTACTAACTTTTTTCAGTGCCATTGAAGTGTCTTTAATTATTAGTTGTTGGATCAACAATTTAGATTGTTCTCATTTCTGTAAAATCCAGTGGTATTCCAGTATGCACTAAGCGCCAAAAATCCTAAGCTAATTAGCTAGTCTTACCAAAGCCTGTCATGTGTTTCTTCTTGCTTTGCATTAGGAAGGAAAGAAGAACATGGGAGGGGGGAAGGGGCACAGCAGGAGGAATTTTTGTATTACTCCAGTGATGACGATAAGACAGTATTATGCACATTTCGCTTATATTGGTAGCTGATTTGACATTAGTGCCATATTTCAAAGATCTGTTATAATTGTTGTAGTATTAATATGTTTCTGGTTAGTCTGACAGAACAACAGGTACTACAGCAGGATAAAGATTCCATAAGATCATGTATTTCGTTCATTATGTTGTTTTATCCCATTGTGTGAGTTTTAAGAATTTCATATGATGTATACTGCCAATAGAACTTGCGTTTTGATTTGAAATCTTATGAGTTATGAGTCCTTATTGCTTTAAAAGGTAATTTTGGGTATTTTAGTGTACTAAAAAAAACCAACCCAAAAACCCAAAAAAACCCAAACCACAAAAATCCCCAAACACAAAACCCATGCACTGAGAAGTAATTTCTTTAATTATTTCCCTGTGTGATTTACTATGATAGCTCAAAATAACGCCCGATTTCTGATCTCATCCCCCAAGGAATCACTGATTGGGATCAGATGCCTGTGTATCACAAACCTGTAGATCTCATACAGAGCCAGTGCTTTCCAAGCTACACTGCCTTTGTGCTCTTCGTTTGCCTTGAATTTTTGTTCACAGAATTTTGTTTAAATAGGTTAGGATACTAGTTGTTTGAACTGTGCTACCCTTTATTTATCAATCTTCCTGTCTACATGTCCTTTACAAATGTCTTTTATGGTCATTAGTTTTACCTTTAAATCAAAACTGTTCAAAATATTTAATAGTGTCGGTCCTAGTGACATCCCTGTAAAGCCTTTAATAGTGCAAACGTGTTGTGGTTTAACCCCAGCAGGCAGCTCGGCCCCATGCTTACTCCCCCTGCAGCAAGATGGGGGAGAGAATTGAAGGGCAAAAGTGCGAAAACTCATGGGTTGAGATAAAGGCAGTTTAACAGGTAAAGCAAAAGCCGCGTGCACAAGCAAAGCAAAACAAGGAATTTATTCACTCCTTCCCATCGGCAGGCAGGTGTTCAGCCATCTCCAGGAAAGCAGGGCTCCATCACGCATAATGGTTACTTGGGAAGACAAACGCCATCACTCTGAACGTCCCCCCTTTCTCCTTCTTCCCCCCAGCTTTATATGCTGAGCATGACGTCATATGGCATAGAATATCCCTTTGGTCAGTTGGGGTCAGCTGCCTTAGCTGTGTCCTCTCCCAACTTCTTGTGCAAATTGACAGAAGCAGAGGAGGAGACATCTAGAGGGCATAGTTACACAATATAATTCCTTCCGTGACAAAGCTGACATACAGAGGACTCTTGACTAGTACCAGTATAACTGTTTGTGGGATTGCACTGTAAACAAGGTTGCTGGAATGAGAGAGAATTAAAGAAAAAAAAAAAAGGTGGGTCTTTTTTTCTTAAATAAAATTTGATCACTTTGGGAATCTGCTTATCGTCGAACTCTACTGTACTATGAACACAGCCAATGAAGGAGTGGTCTGTGGAAAAAGTTTGAGAGTGAACGGTGTGTTGTGAGAAAGAATTAAAGAGGCAGGTCGGTGGGCTGTTAGATCCCGATTGATGAAAGTCAGAGCAAATTAATGTAGATGCAGTTTGGACTTTCCTTGCAATCCTGACAGTTTTTGCCTTCCTCCTTTGGGTCTTTTGGGCAATGAAAAATTTGGTGGTGTGAGAGGCGGAGGCCTTGACTCCGTGTAAGCACTGCTCAGCAATAATGAAAACATCAGTCTGTTATCAATACTGTTTTGGTCACAGATCCAAAACATGGCACCATGAGCTGCTAGGAAGAAAATTAACTCTATCCCATCCAAAACCAGTACAATATGTTTAAGTCCCAGTTAAGAACTCATTGTTTACATCTGCCAATTAGCCAGTTCTTAATCCATTTAGTATTGTTTGTTGATATTGCATGATACTAATTTTAAAAACTAGTTTGTGTCAAATGTCAGCAAAAATAAAGTGGATTCAGATAGAGTTCTCAGTATAATTTGTAGTCCAACTTTAAAAACAACTACTTAAAAAGAACATTTTCCATAAAAAATGTACTTGCTGACCTAAATTGCATTATGACAATTAATTTTTCAATTCCATGTCTGAGCTTAATTTCCTTGATATAATCTGATTTGGTGACTTAACCACGTGTAATTTGGTGGGTTGTCCTAATTTCCGTTTTTGAGCATAATGTTAGTTTGTGGATCTTCCACTCTTTTTTTTAATTGAAGTGTCAGAATATAACACTCTCTGTGGTTCAGATTTCTCCTGTCAGAGTCGTTCCCGTGTACTAAGAATGAAGTAGAGATGAGAAAGTGATGTTTCTTTCTTGGAGAAGCAGCAGTTTGACTCAGTTTAATACTCATACTTTGTTTATTCTTGTATGAATTAAGTGATAGTATTGTACTAACCCTATATTTAGCTCTATAGCAGGTTATCTATTTCTCATTCCTGGAGACAGTAATGAAACTTTTTCAGTAGACATGTCTTGTCCATTAGCTCTCAGAAAAAGCAGTTTCATTAATATTTTATTACTTACAGTAGGATTGCAGGGGGCTGGGGTTGTGTGTGTTTGTTTTTTCCCAACATATGCACTCCAAATCAATAAAATATTGAGGAGAAAGTAATTTTCCTGAAGCTGTCGGGACTGTTTTAGCAAGGGAAATCCTAGACTCCTAAACTGTCATAGCATCAGCTGGGCTTTTAAGGGAGCAGGAGGTTAGCTCTGTATAAGCTCACTGACAGCACTAATCTACTATCCTAGACCTAGAGAATGAGAGCAGCAACTATGATAGGGAGACTCTGACTACAACCAGAAGTGCTGGGACATCTGTGATTACCAGGGAGAGAAGAGTGTCAGGAGTCTGTAGAAGGTGCCTAACATAGGAAAATTCTTCTAAAGTGATGTGAGGAGTTCAGACCAGAACTGTTTGTGAGGAGTGCCTTAGCCACGCTGTGGCAGAGTTGGAGATGGTCAGGAGCCCTGAGAAGACTTTTTGTTTGGTTGTCTTTTTTCAATAGGAAAACTCTTATTCATTACAAATAAAGCTTCTGCATAAGCATCTCAACCAAACTGCAGTGAAAGAACATAACTCCTGTTCAAAGTGAGTGGTTTGATGATGAGTTTCAGTAGATAATGTACAGCCATGGCCTCCTTTGTGCCAACTGTCCTCTTGATGCTGCACATAGAGTCAAATTTGGAAGCAGATTGAGCTGAAAGCTATTTTCCTCCTCTGGATTAATGTTCAGCTGGATCAGTTCTCTGACCTGTCAGACTTGAGTGGGGAGTGCGTAAGCATTGGGCTGCAACAAGAGGGCAGGTGGAGGAAGGTTTCCATAACTTTGTTACACAGTATAGATTTAGGTTGATTTGAGTCATTCATGGGACTGCATCCTGAACGTACAGGGAGATCAGTATAGTGATTTATTCAGTAATAATTAAACTTTAATTAACTAGAAGGCTTCAATAAAGCATTACGAGAACCATAGCTAAGTGCCTAAAGGACCGTCTTAAAAATGAGATCTGAGTTTTAGTTTGTGTTTTATGAACGTTCATTGAGTTATTGGCAGGACAGAAAGAGAGAATGGTAAAAGCTAACATTAGCCAAGTGAGGTTAACCTCTATGTGCTGCTTCTATACATAAATAGAGAGAGGGTCTGCTAAAGGCTAATAGAACAGAGCTTTTGCAGAATGCTGATGGGAACGTTGCATTCTCTTTCATCCGTGGGTTTGTGACTTACTTGTGCGAGGACTTAGGGGATGCATCATTCAGTTGCACAAGCTAAACCTGAGCATTTGTTACAGTAACAGTGTATATATGTATTCTTTTCCAGGTCAGGAAGGCCAACCGATTGCAAAGCCTTTCCCAGGATGTTGTTAGTGCCTTGCAGTGCTTTCATTGCAATGCTTTCAGATTCTCTTTCTCTGTTAGTAGGTCTCCTGGCCTGATGGGATACTCTCAAGCTCTCTCTTTTCTCTCTTGACAGAGAAGTGAAATGTTACAAAAACCTAAGATGAAACTAGGAGGAAGTAGCTGGGAAAATGGTCGTTGAAAAGGCGTCTGTTTTGTGTTGCAGTTCTCTGGTTGCCTAAAAATATAAACAAAATGCAAGTCTTGACTGTAATAATTTGTGCCTTGTATGCAGTTTTTGTTCCATGGCCAAGTACATTAGTACATTCTGAAATCTCTCATGCATATTGTGTTCTTTTTTGCTAGGAACTCGATAAAGAGCTTCCAGTGTTAAAACCTTACTTTGTTCAAAAGCCGGAACTTGCTGGGAAGACAGGAACTGGTATGCGAGTCACGTGGTTGGGACATGCCTCAGTTATGGTGGAAATGGATGAACTTGTATTTCTTACTGACCCGATCTTCAGCCAGCGAGCTTCCCCTACTCAGCTGGTGGGTCCCAAGCGCTTCCGAGGACCTCCGTGCACAGTAGAGCAGCTCCCCAAAATAGATGCAGTCATGATCAGCCACACCCATTATGATCATTTGGACTACAACACTATAACGAGTTTAAACGAACGCTTTGGGAGTGAGCTGCGCTGGTTTGTGCCTCTAGGGCTCTTGGACTGGATGCAGAGATGTGGTTGTGAGAATGTGATTGAACTGGATTGGTGGGAAGAGAACTGCGTCCCTGGTCACGATGCAGTAACTTTTGTCTTCACCCCTTCTCAACATTGGTGCAAAAGGACTGCGACAGATGATAACAAGGTTCTTTGGGGCAGCTGGTCTGTCCTGGGACCTTGGAATAGGTTTTTCTTTTCAGGAGATACTGGATATTGTGTTGCTTTTGAACAGATAGGTAAAAGGTTTGGACCTTTTGATCTTGCAGCCATCCCTATTGGAGCTTATGAGCCAAGGTATGAAAATCAAAGTTTGATCAAAATACATAAATGAAATGATATACTGATGACAAAAAAATACACCCAGAAGTGAAAACTGTAGGTATGCTTGTATTAAGATTTTACAATAGACTATAGAGGCAAAAGAAGGATATTGCTGAATGACAAAAAAAAAAAAGCAGGCAATCAGATGATGGAGCTGAAATGTCTAGGATGCTTGCCTGTGTATGAGTGGTGTTCTTGGGGGGTTTTTTTTTTCTTCAATCTTAAGCACAGCAAGGATGAACCGGCTGACTTTCTTCCATGAAAAATGTTGAGTAAAAATCTGGAATTACTTTGTGGCTTTTTCTTTTACGTAGTGTCACTTAATCCAACCCGTTCAGATGCATGCAGTTTGCAGCAGTTTTCTCTTGCTTCAGTCCTTATGCTGTTTTTGCAACTTATCTGAAGACAAAGATGAATCCTTTATAGAGTGTGAAAGATCTGTTTGTTTAAGCATCTGTATCCTACTTATGACAGGGTATCTAAACTTTTAGATGATAATGCTCCTATAATGCTGGAAGCAGAGCATGTATAGGCTGGGAAAGGAAGATAGGAATCAGAATAACGTGGTAAAAATCTGGTACCTTTCAAGAATTGCCAGGTTCTCTCTTCTGCTTTACCACCCGTTCCCTTAGGCTGTCTTCTAAAGCACACACTTTTTGGTGTGCGCTGCTAGCATGAAATTTTTTCAGGGATGGATTTAAATCTACGGCCTTAATGCCTCAAGGCACCAGTAATATGTCCTTATACTATTAAAAATATAGATTAAAAAAAAAAACCAAAACCAAACAAAAACGCTTGAAAAGAGGAGTGAAATACATGAATTGCTGTTTTGTGGGTATGTTGGTATATTCCAGCTTGTTGATTTTGAGTGTTCTGTATGTTGTTCAGACATACATGTGCCCTAATTTTTTTTATTAGGTGAGCGGATTTTTTTTTGGGGGGGGGGGGCAGGGGGGGGGTTGTTTTGTTCTTAGTTTTTTTTTTCCAGATTCTTTCCAACTTACCCAATGAAAGTAAAGAAGAAATCTTGCACTGAATTAGGTGACACAAAAAAATTTACTTTGTGTTTTGGTAGGTGGTTTATGAAATACCAGCATGTGGATCCTGAAGAAGCAGTAAGAATCCATATTGATGTTCAGGCAAAGAAGTCTGTAGCAATTCACTGGGGGACCTTTGCTTTAGCAAATGAGGTAAATTTCAGCACTCTACGTGAGTCCAGATTCCCTGAGTACAGAGTCATTTATGAAACTTTGCTCCTGCAGTTTAACCTACATATCTGTAAATGTCTACTTAAAATGTAAACTTTCTATGAGTGAAGAGTTGTTACTATATGTACTGCAGTTAAAAACAATGCTTAGCTTTTCATAACCAATTACATAAAATATTTCCACGGTTAAGATTGATTTGAAAGTACAGAGTTATTGAAACAAATGTGGAAGATTTCTGATATCCAGAAGCTGAGGAACATGAAAGATGGGGACACACTATGCAATAATAAAAGTAAACTCAGCAGTGCATCACCTGGAGAGAGTAAGAACTGTGTGCTTGTAGGTCAATACAGTATTTATTAATCTGTCTAGTAAATAAACTGAATAGTATTTTTGATAGTTGATTCATAGTTAAATACCAGCAAGAATATGAAAAACTGAGTTATTCCGAGTTGCTGATTTTTTGTGGGTTTTTTTTTATTCTTCCTCCTTCCACCCCTCCCACCCCCTCCCCGAGTCCCCAGTTCTAATAAGGAGGTTACCCAGGTACCTTAACAGTGACTAAAATGCAGTGAAAGGGAAGTATCTACATCTACTTTGATACACCTTGCCTGGTAGCTGTTTTTCAACTTTATCTTTGTATCAGTTGCACCACTTTATCTTATAACTCAGTCCTGATGCTGTCAGCTACGTTCACCTGACACGTCATGTTTTCTTTAACTTGGATATAACATTTTCCATCCACGATGCTTCTGATAAGCCATGTCACTAGTACCCACATTACTAATGCTATTGTGTGTTTAGAAGCACAAAAAAATGGATGACTTCTCCCTGATGATGCCTTTTCTGAAATGTAACAAATAGAATGAAGTAACTTCAGGGGGACCTCATTGACACAGCACTAGTTTTTAAACAGTAAAGCTGACAACTTTGTTTTGCTAAACGAGAGAAAGCGCCATCTGCTGACCTGTTAACCCCTCCTCCTCTGTGCGAGCAATGAGGAATCGCTGTATTTCTGCTTCTGAGAGATCTAGTTCAACACATTGAAGAAGGCTGACTTCTGGATGATAGGTTGGGCCTTGCTAGTTACTCTACAACTGTAAATCGGCATTCTTATCGTTTAAAAACAGAAAATGAAACCAAACATTTTAATTTGACAAATATATCGCCCCCCCTTTTAGATAACGTTTAAAAAGTAAACCATTTCTTGTTTAGAGCAGTGATAACTCTTTTTTTCCCCCCAAATGCTGCAGTGGTATCTTTTCCCTCATATTATTCTTATTTTTCCAGTATTACTTGGATCCTCCAGTTAAACTGAATGAAGCTCTTGAAAGATATGGCTTGAAAAAAGAAGACTTCTTTGTCTTAAACCATGGAGAATCACGGGACTTGAGTACAAATGATGGATTTGAATGAAACAGGAGCAGTTCCTTGTAAGCCTCGTTTGATTTGAACTAGCAATTAATGTTACAAATATTAATACGATGTACTTACAAAGTAGGTTTTTTGGAGTGAATTGGATTTTTAGATGCCAGGTTTGTCAGTTTCAGAACTAAAACTTGCATACTGATTTCATGATAAATTTTACTAGTTATATTGTTTATAAATTTTGAGAGGTGATCTAAAAACTGGTTAATATATAAGGTATTGTCTGGGAATAACTTGTGTTTTCAACTCTTAGGTACACCACTGAGAAATTACTGTGTTTTTTTTTAAACTCTTCATCTTCCCTGCAACAGCAATAATAACCTCAGCACAGGACATATTCTTAGAATTAATGGCTGACTTGGATTAGTCATTCTTCGAATGTCATCTCCCACTTGTTAGTCATTCATCTTCAGGTTATGCCCTGTACCTTGATAGCTTCACTGTGTTTTGTGGGGTGGAGTCTTCCAATACAGTTGTGTTGTTAAAGCACAAGCACAGTAAAATAATTATTTTACTGAGTGCTTCTACATCTTCATATATTGACGAACCACAAAAGCTGAATTTTACAATGATCTTAAGAAATGTGCCTTTTAAAGAGAGAGATAATTTAATATTGCATCATTGATGTGTAAAACTTACTGCTGGCCAGAGTATCTGCACACTTTCATTGTTTTGTCAATATCTTTAAGTTAGGCCTGAATGAGTCTAAAATAACTTTCTTGTCAAATGCAGTACATGAAATCGAAGACTCCCTTAATGGCGCTTTGTCTTTGCATTGACTCAGCCTATTATTAAGTACTTTTTTTTTTTTAAGTGAAAAGTCTTAAGCAAGGGCTGCGGTATTTTTTTCTTATAGCTTCCTTATAATTTTGAAGTTGAATGAGAGATTACAACATTGTTCAGTATTGTAAAACTTGGCTAAATGTATCTGTATCAAATGGCCATGCCGATCTACAGAATTAAAGCCTATTGTTGCCAATAAAATGGTTGTTATCCTCCTTTATAATTCATTGGCAAATCACTTTTTTGTTCATGATTTGTTTTGGTCTATGGGATATGTTGGTTTTTTTTTTTTTTTTGCTCTTGCTGTGCATTACATTTTATGTTCACATTCCATGAAGATAAATAAAAAAAGACACATTATTCCCCTGCAATTTAAAGACATGAACTTCTGGCAACTGATTAAAACCAGTTAATGAGATTTCATGCTAGGAGCAAACAAGTAATCTTTTAACTGTTGACAGTTACCTTTTAAAAATTTGTATCGGGAAGTCCTAGAGGTCTTAAAGATCTTAATACCAACAGAGAACAGCACAAGGAAGCAAAGATCAGTTAGTCCAAGTTCATGCTGAGGAAGTTCTGGAACAGAGGATTACACTTGTATGTAAGAAAAAGTAGCTTATATTCCTTTGGTGGGATTCATATTTGACAAACATCAAGATTTCTTTCTTTGAAAAGGTAATTCTAGTATGGTCTAGATGTATTCACCAGAATGTGTTCAAAACTGGTTTAAAACTACTCTCAGTTGTTCAGTATTGATTTTGGGAGGGTATTTCAGATGCAGTCTCTGTTGGGCCTCATTTACACAATAGCTTCAATAACGATTTGGATAACATAATGCATATTACATGTTCATAATATTGTGGAGGACATCAAGCTGCAGGATGTTTTGAGTACTTTGAAGGACATGGTTAAAACTGAACTTGGGTTTTTTTCCAGTTTTCAATATCATTGACTAGTCTGTAAAATTCTGTACTTTAGAAAGAAAGAACGAAACTAAAATACAGAATACCTAGATAAACAGCCACATAGCAGAGAAGTACTGACTTACAAGGACCAGAGACTACATGTCAGTAATGGCATACGTTTTGGTTTGGATCTGTTAATTCACAGCATTTGTATGTAGAATGGTGACTGTTAACGCTTTGCTTGGTGCTGGTAAGATTCCATCTAGGGTGTGGGGTAGGGGATAAAAAGAAAATTAGACACACTTGTGTGAAGACACTTCGGAGGGTCTTGCATGATTTCAAAACATCTCAACAGCATTGTTCTATGAAGAAAGCATTTAAAAAATAGCTCTTTCTAGACCAGAAAAGGAATTCTGAGGCAACAGTGTAACAAGTTTTCATGTATTTTTAGGAAAGGGGAGAATGGTCACTTGTTTCTGTCAGCTATCAAAGCAAAGGATAAGAGATCAACTTTACTTATCAAAAAGATGATGTTTGAAAAACTTATTTTTAGGTTGGAGAACATGGAGAGGGACATCTAGACATCTCCATTGCTGAGCTTAAGAAAACATAAATATATATATCTATCTCAGGTATACCTAGAACAGACTAGTCTCAGTTCTTGTGTCAGAAGAGAAAGGTGGGATTGGTAAATTCTTAGTGTCTGACCTAGCCTTTATTTTTCTTTGTTAAATACAGAAGCAGAAAAAAATGAGAAAAAAAAAAAAGCTACGAAAAGTGGCAAAACATTAAGTGATCATAATGTAATTTGCTTATTACAACATGAAGAGTGTTTTTGGAGCAGCGGGAAGGAGAAAGGGAAGTTCACTGTCAATGCAGCGATTGTCAGGGTTCTGACCGGGAATCATGCCAACTTCTATTTCTGCCTTAATTGTATTCTTGAGGAGTTAAAACTACCTATGTAGATAAATTAGATACATGTAGCTTTACCCCTGTATTGATCAGGGCATAGATATGTTGTATTTTCAAGGTCACATTTTGCTTGCAGTTTTAGTTATTTGCAAAGTTGCCTACCGAAAATAAAATATATATTGAATTACAGAAGAGAGTAATATTTTATTAAGAGCAGAGTGGGTATATTAACTGAGAAAGATGAAGCATCTGGTAACAGTTTAGGTAATACAGCTCTCTTAAAAATGGTACAAGGTGGAAAACTTGTTTTCTAGTCTCCGCATCTGATGCTTTTTTTACTGTCTCTATAATGTGGTGTTCAGGAAGTTTTAGTAGTCTCGTTTTACTCTAAGTGTTTTCTACTACGTTTTATGTTCATCAGTGAAACTTCCTGCGGGTTCTTTTACAATGATGTTTATATGTATTCAGTTCATTTTGAATTAACACTGCACTGATGTCTAAAACTTTATGGGGCCTAACTCAACAGAAGCACTTACTCCAATGACGTGCCAGTTGCAGAGAAAAAGGAGTAAAGCTCTCCAAGGAAAGCGGGCTCGAGGGCTGCTGCAGAACAGGAAGCTTTTGTAAAAATACATATGATACTGCTTTTGTAGACTTTTTATAAAGATGAGAATGTTGAATTGCAGCTGCAGATAATCTTTGACTCATAATAAAATATTTTGAAAAATATGTGTGCTTTCCGTAAAGTGACAATTTAAAGCAAGATAAAATCCTTTTGATTTTTTTCAAGTGTGGAAACCTTGCATGGTTGTGGTTAACTCCGCTGCAGTTTGGCTAAATGGAATGGATGTACTAAGCACACGAGAATGTAGTTTTAGAATATATTCTGTGCAGGTAAGGTAAAAAAACATAGGCTGGGTAACTTTAATATGCAGCTTTCATTGAAAATACTGATTTTGTAGGAAGCCAATGGTAGTCTGGTATTGTTTTTATTTATTATTTTCTAACATTTAGCTGCACCTATTTAGTAGATATCAGATTAATAAAATGTAAATGCCTAATCTCTAATTCCCAAATCTTTAATGCACCATTCTATAGAGGTGTTTATTCAACAGGTGTAAATATTTAAGGCAACAAAAATGTTGACATTGCGAAGAATATTTCAATTGACTTTACCCATCCATTTAGAATGTTCACTGTACGCATGAAAGTTTTCATGTTTTGAACTGTTCCTCCCCCTTTGTGTACGTGTACCAGCTGTACAGTGGCTTCTCAGTGCTAATTAAGCTATTGCTTTTATCTTGCTTGTAAAAGAAATCTGTTCTGCTCTCTATATTAACTACATTGCATTCTCTCGTGTAGTAACTGATTTGTGCCTAGTAATACGGTAGTACTCAGTAATTTTTTTGGTTGTCTTTGTTTGCTGGGGTTTTTTTAGCATAGCGTTCTTTAGATATTTTCATCAGGTCAGTCTTTTTTTACAAAAATTACTATTGTGTTAATATTTTCACAACTTGCTCTTTCACTTCTGCATCAGGGTGATGCAATAAAGATGCCAGTTTCTGAGCGAATGGGGTAGAGTCCCTGCAGAGTGTAAAGAAAATTGAATCTTCACTGTATTGGTCCTGAATCATGGTGCCATCTTCATTGTTCATGTTCTTTTTCAAGTTTGCTGCAAATGCCAGGCCTCTAAGCAGAATATCTCTGTTTATACAGGTGTCAAAAAGTAACAGCAATGATGGCACCTAGGATATTCAAGAAATAATCCATACTTAATCACCAGCAGTAAGTACATGTAACTAAATCTAACTTTAAAAAAATGGAAGACAAAAAATCTGCACCTAAACCATCTAAAACAGAAACCCTATGAAATACCCGAACTCCATATGCTGTGAAAGCATGCCAGAAACTTGCACAGCGTGCACATTTCCTCTTTAGAAAAAGACTGGCTTGTGCATCACCGGCTAATAAATGCTTTGTACTTTCAATCTCCAAAATGTGGCTGTCTGGAAAATTCCCATTTGGAAGAGAGGGTTTGCTTTCCTCCTCAATAATGTTGCTTTTGCCTTCTGCAGTGATCTGAATGTTTTTGTGTTAGCATATCTGATAAATGAGAAAAGGATACACTTTTAACAGAGAACTGAATATTTAGCTACCCTAATCTTGTTTTAATAATGAAAAGCTGGTAGTATCTAGACTAGCTTTGCTGATGGCAGATAGTTCAAAAATAAAAGCCACTGCATGTTTTAAGAAACTTACTCTGGGGAGGGGGAGGAGGATGCAGCACCATTCCAGTCCCTGGCTCTTTGTTTTGGTGTGAGGAAAGGGTATAACTGAAATAAACCCGTATGCCAAGGCCAGCAATAGCAAATGTCAGATAAAGTTCTCCACGAGGACAGAAGTAAGTGCACAGGGAAAGTTCACTTACAGTGCTTAGAGACAACAGTTTCATGGCTGCATCTGAGTAAAGGGGTGGGGATTTCAGTGAAATTTGGTCATCTTAGGTACAGTATGTTAGCTATAGAAACAGCTTGTTGAGAAGGATCATTTACAGTACTGGTTGTATTTGATGTTTGTACCTGGTCTTCAATCTATATCCTGACTGCATGTCTGGAAGTGAGGGTTTGGGTTTGTTTCTGAAACTTATCAGGGTACATTATATATATTACATACAGAAGCTCATGGTACTACCCCTTTGGTGGAAAGGGGGTAGTACCATGAAAGGTGAGAACAGGCTTCTGCAAGTTGTCACTGATTGTTTGGAATGGTACACAGGAAGTATGACCAACTGTCTTCAAGTACATAGGCCCTGTGACTCTGCCTCTGCAAGTACGCTATCTGTATTACACTACACTCTGGAAGAAAGCTAGCCTATGAAAGAATGTACGCTTCTAGCTACTAACTTTAACCAGGTACTGCCTAGAATTTTACTCTGGAGTTGCATATATACTTCTAATATATAAAAATTCTTCTAATGCATGCACGTATCTACACACATGCACATGTATAAATGCTAAAAATACAATGAAACAGCAAGAACCTTACTTGAGCTCTGAGAATATGTCCTGTCATGGCTGGGTTTGCAGATAAGTTCACAAGTACTTTCAAAACCTGAATCTGAAATGAGGAACACACAAGTTCATTGCAAGCCCTAAAAACAGTAAGTACAGCAGTAATGGGCATCAATAATGTCAGCATTGACTTGGAGAGGAAAAGGTAGAATGGGACAACTAGCATCTTGAGTTGTGCGCTTCAGCCTTTGGTATAGGAAAAAACAGAGCTTATGGAGTCACTAGCATGTACGTACTAAGTATGGATATTTTAGAAGCAAATTGTTTGCCTTAAACATCAAAATAAGGCACAATCTATACACAACTCGCAGTAGGCAAAATATGGACTATTTTTGAAATATACAGAGGATGGTTAAGTACTGTATTTTAAAATGTGGTCAGAAGCTTACAGAAACACGCCTTTGTATTTTCCTGGAACTTGTGACACTAATCTTTTAACTAAACACTAGGAAAAGACCAAATGCTATTTATTGTACTTCAGTAAAATAGGTCTGCTAAGTTTAGTGGAAATTTGTGTTTTGGAAAAGTAGTTTGATCTGACAGAGCAACTGAGTACATTGATACCGATAGCACTGTGACATCTTGAATAAACACTGAATTTGGTCCCTGTTTGAAGCTTTTCTCTTCTTTCAATATTACAATAATTCACAAATAAGCACAGTTTCCCATTGCAGTCACTAGGGTTGCAAGAGATGTAATGAGCGTAAGGGAGCAGAAATCCATAACTGAGGTTATTGCTGCTTGGCATGTTTCTCTAGAGAGATTCATGCATCAGTGAAGCTTTTCACATGCAGATCCTCCTTGCTCTGTGATGCAGTAGCAATGTTTAGCGAGCAGAAGAGAATTCTGGAGTTGCTATAGCAAAGGCGTAGGACAATAGCAGTGCACAGAGCACTGGTGGGGTACAGCTTTAGCCCAACGATTCCACTATCAAGATTCCCTTCCTCCCCTCTTTCTGAATTCACATTGAGAAAGTAATATAGATCCATATTTTATGGATTTTGTGTACTATCTGCTATCATTAATGAGTATTTTATTTTCTAAGCACAGTCTAAACCATTTTACAAAACGAGTAAAAAGGCAAGTAAAGCAGCTTCATAAATGGTTTGTAACAATACACTACCCAGTACCTGCGTCCTTTCAGTTCCTTCTGAAAGCAAATGAAGAAAGCACGGAATTGAGTTTATCATCTTATGGTGGTAGTCACTGGTAACAGACATATTTGTCAACAACCTGAGTCCAGCTAGCTGCAGATCAGAGTTCAGGGGAGCTGACTCGACGTTCCTACAAACTTGCGTAATATATACCTGGGGAAAAAGGGAAGGAGATAAAAAGAGAAGACATTTTTTGATACAAGCAGATTTTCTATTCACAAATAGTATCAGTGGCCTAGTCACAAGCGTAAATACCTCTTGAACACTGCTGGCTGAATACATAACCTGATGAAGGTTCTTGGAAACAAGTACTTTTTTGTTTTGTTCTGAATATATTCAAACATTCTATTGGCATGATAGAAGCAGATGTTACAGAGTTATGCTCACTAACCTTCCTGAAGCATAAATTGCTCTGGAAACCCAAATTACTTTGACTCCATCTCAGAAGAGGCACATTTGCTTTAAGGAGTTATTTAAAAATCACTTACAGCAACCAACGTCTTCTTAAATGTTGACAACAAGCTAAGGACAAGTCTTGGAATGAAATCCTTTCTTCCAACCATGTGGCCCGTTCACTGGAGTACTCCTCAGGAACAGTGATGACAACTGACATTGACAATTACTTTTTGCCAAATTTTCTTCTAGATGACAGTATACAATGAATCTTGGAGTCCTAACTAAGAAAAAAATTACTTTGCCTTTACCAAAAGAGTTGTTTTCTACCTATATAAATATTTGCTGTTGGCAAGCATTACTTTAAAAAAAGTTGCTCAGCACTAAAGGTGCTGCAAACTACCACGTACAGTCAAATGGCCTTTTTATCAAGCTAATGAAAAAACTAGTAAAAATCTTCAAATCTGCATCAGCTCACTGCTTGGACACTCCTTGAGCTATTGATTAATCTGATAATTTCAAAAGTGGATGCTTTTTTGATGGTTGGTCCTTTCAGAGCCATACCATATATTTACCAGCGGGACTTGTTACCATTATTACACGCTATTCTTTTCAGATGAAAGTATCACCCTGAAAAATTGGTCTTATATAAACCCAGGGGATCAATTACTGTTTTCTTCTCCCTTGCCTAAGGAGTCATGCTAAGTTTGGTCTGCAATCCATCCTATTAAACAACCACTGCAGATGCTCTAGACATGTTTGGAAATCATCTTGCCTCACATAATTTCACTATAAACAGCAGCACAATCTCTGTTTCATAGCAGTTGGTGAAAGCTGAACACAAACTGCCTAGTTTCCTAACTGTCTTTTAAAAAAAGTGCGTGCCAGTGATGCAGTGCATTTTTAAGTTATCCTTTTGGCCTTGGGACGCACAGATCATCCAGTTCTGCTGACTCGTATGTCTAACCTCAAAACATTTTGGCATCTGGCTTGTATTTAATGAATATGCTGAAAGCCCTGTACTGTCTCCCGTGTCCCAATTACTTTGATTTTTCCCTTCAGGAAACTTACCTGTATCTCCTCCTGATTTTTAATATTCATACTCAAATTATTAAATGCATTTAGTGCTTTTTCTTTAACTTTGGGAACGCAATCTGAGAGCATCCCTCCAATAACAGAAAGGCCATCCAAATTTCGGATTATATCCTGAAATATAAAACAGATATTTAATAAGATTATTAAAAAATTTAAATGCTCAAGGCTTTCCTCAGTTTCCATTTTAATGCCAATGGAATGTGTGAATGAAGACTTCCAGAATAGACTACTCTGTTTAAAGAGAGAGTGTTTTAGGAGATACTGCTTCATTGCTTCCATTGAAATTAAGAATAGTCCTGCTTAGGGCCAAAGTATATTTGACATTATTTGACAATGGCACAACCCTTTACTTTTAAAATTTGGCCTGCGAAGCATGCTTAAAGCATTTTAGATTATAAAGAATCAAAGGTAATTATGGCATAATGAGTTTATAGAATAGCTGAGCCAGGTCACAGTACCTAAAAGTCCTGTCTGAACAGAACAGAATTTCAAGATGCAGCTTTATATTATTATGAGTAGAAGTTCTAGAACTTTTTATGTCTTTTGCATTACACTTGATTTTTTTTTTTAATCTTTCTCACTTAGACTCCAACCATTGACCAAAAAAACATGTACTGTTTTCAAGAAAATGAAGAATGGGCCAATGGGCCTTGGGATTCAGTTACATTCTGTTCTGACAGGTTTATATTAAGAAAACGGTTCTGAGAAGCTAGAATAGACAGCTGTCAGAAGTACCATAACAAAAAGGGGGAAAAATAAAAGGGACCCTGGAGGTTAAACCTTTGCAAAGGCATGAAAATCTGCATCCAGCTCAAAGTTTTTCTGCATCTTATTTCCAACTGATTCGAAGAGACCTGGATAGTTGGAAAGTTGCTAAGATGTAAATGGCATACAACTCTGTAAAGATAAAAAATTAGTTTCAATTATTCAGTAAATTTCAGATCTGATCCTGAAAGCTTTTAACCCATCTCCAATTCAACCCTTGCATTAACGTTACGTAACTGTGAGCAACAAAAGATGTAAAGATATTTACAGCACTTTGAAAATACAGAACTCTGTACAGACTTTAAGTTGTACAAACATTAAGCTTAGATAAATTTTGTGAAGCTGGTAAGTTATATTACTTGGGCTAGCAGAAATTAAGGCATTTTAGAACACAACCTATCGTAGCTCTCAGTCCTGTGTCACTCTTCAGCAAAACAGCACCTCTCATCTTCCATACTGACTGGTATTGAAACACTGTTGTTTTCTACAGAACAATACTTACTTGATTTACAGAGAAGGCAGCACTGTTGCTGAGAGTGATTAAAGCTTGCTCTTGAATTAATGGATCATCTGTGGCCTGGAGCAAATGAATAAGTTTCTGTAGAGCATCCGCATCCGTGGTATGGGTTGACACCGAAGGACTGCTGTCTGTCAGTGTTTAAAATGAAATACTTGATACCAAGTTTGAGACATTTCACTTAGTTACCACGTAACGTTTTTTACAAAGCTGAGGTTTAGCTCTCAGTTGTAGGACACGTTGTTCTAAGTTTGATTGTACCCAACCATCATATCATGGCAAAAAGACTGTGTTTTACAACAGCCAGACTTCCACCCTTTTTCCTGAGTCCTCTGACTACCTCTTGTCAAAGCAGAAAATACAAGGAATACAAAGTGAGAGCTTGGGGTACGTTACTGTTTGGTTAACAAACTGCAAACCTCCCCTTCAAAATTGTTAGGAATATTCACCAAACATGATAATTTTTTTCCTTGTGTTGCCTGAAATGAAATGCGGAAATCTGTCTGGACACTGTAGGAAAAGAAAATAAAACTTCCGACTCGCAGACTACTGCTTCTAGAAATGATGATAATGACGTTTTGCTAGTACCCTGAGGTCCTTTGACAAAGTAACAGCCACAATGTTAAGAATGGTGTCACTCGGCCAACTGAGGCAGGCTGTTTCTGAGTCAGAATGATGTTATGGAGTACCTGGCTTTCATAAAAGGGTGACACAAATGCCATCAAAGACCATTTTCAGCCATGAAAATGACCATTTTCAGCCATGAAAATGGTTGGAGGCAGAACTACTTAGCTAGCCAAACAGCCTGAACACCCAATCTATGACTACTGGACTAGTCATAGATGACTCGAGATAACTTTTGAGAAGCTAACCAGTCCTTTATAATTCCACATATTTGCTGCCACCATCTCACCAGGCAAACACCATAGTATTCTTCGGGGGAAAAAAAAGAAGGTCAAACTTAATTATGACAATCCAAAAGCTAGCTTGAAAAACAAAATTGTTTTTTATCCTCATCTCATCCTCATCTAAACACTTTGTTTAGCCTTGAATTATAGGGGGAACACAAATAACTTTAATAGCAGAATCGCAAATCAGCCCATTAAGTAAATACACTGATTGGACATGTGCTTTAGGGGACTTAAAAAAAATGAATTAGGCTTTTTTAAAAATCAAACATGTTCTCGAGTCCTGCAAAAACATCGCGCGGCTATTAGCGGGCCGATAAGCAGTACAGCGGTGCCCCCTCACACCGGGAGCAGATGTCTTCGAGGCCACAGGCGGGCAGCGGCCCGGAGCCGCGCTCTAGAGGCGCGGGCAGCGGCCCGGCGGGGGCTGGAG